GTTTTCTTAAATGTATTCTGTTACTTATCTGATATGACCCATGTTTTATTTTCTACATACATCTGTATAAATTCAAATGATTAAGTCATGGCACCAATAAATTAAAGCATAAATGATGTCATATTTAAATTTAACAGTTATAATACACATAAACCTCTTTAAAAGGAAGTTTAATACTTATCAATAATAAAAATGTAAACTGGTTCCTTGTAAGATACTATGTGAATAATTAATGCTAATGTATAGGACGAATAATAGCTTTCAAGGCACAAATTAATGCATACTGCAATTTTTCTACTGGTTTTTCCATTTATAGAAACAGTTATAGTTTAATATCAATGAACAGACTGAACCTAGAAATATTAATGTAAGTGAAATGCGCTGGCCTGATTTTGGTAAAACATTATTCATGGATTAAATGATATATTACTCTGGAAATGACACCTAAGCTCATCTATACAATACAGAGTTGGGATAATTATTTCCAATAAAATCCAAACAGCCATTGTAAATTTTGTTTCCTTTTCAGGTAAAGAGGATATTACAAATACAGGACAAGCTAGTGAACATTAATATAGTATGAGTATATGCTTCAACTGCAGCTAAATCAAAGCTGAAATAGATTATTTTTATGAACAACTCACAATAACTTTTACAATACACCAGGAAAAAAGAAATTACAATAAAATTGATGATTTAAATGCAAAGATAGGAAAAGCTCAAGTGGACAATTATAATAGGTGATTATGGTTTAGGAACAAGAAATACTAGAAACAACAGATTGGCTCAATTTTGACAAGAAGAAAACCTGGTGATTATGAACACATGGCTTCGATTACCAGCATGTAGACTGTATACCTGAAGGTCACCACAGGATAATAAATAAAATTGTATAAGAAATCAGATCGACTTTATAAAAGTACTAACCAATCTAAGATTTAGAAATTCCATTATAAGAAGTGTTAAGACTTATCCTGGAGCAAATGTCCCATCAGACCATAAACTTGTCTCAAAAATGAAATTGAGGGTAAAAAGATAATAAAATCCAAAAGTTCTAAGGTGAATACCCAGTTGCTCAACATAAACAAAATAGGTAATGAGGCATATATAAATTAATAAATGAAAAGATTAACATTAGAATGAAATAATTGACAAAAACAATAAACTTATTAATAACCCAATTGAAATAAAACCAGTATGTACTAAATGTATTGAAGATATTTTCATGGACACAAGAACAAAACCAACACAAATTGATAGCAAGGAAACCCCAATAACATTAACATCTAAAATATGAATCTGAAGTGCTTTAAACAACTCAAAATCTAACAGAGACCCTAGGCCAGATAAAGTTCACATCAAGCTGATTAAATTCAAGATGAAGACAATTTAAGTGCCATAACTATACTGTTTAAAAACATATACAAATCTGGTGAGATACCTAACTACAGAATAGCTACTATCAAACTTTGTTCTGCTAGCAAAAACCTAGAACTCAAAACAATGTAATGACTGTAGATTAATCAGCTTAATGTCATGCAGAAAGTGTGAAGCGGATATCAGTAATAGACTGTTTGATTTTCATAATGGCTTTGGAACAGTAGAAGTTCTGTATAGTTTCACAACTCTTGCTCAAAAATGACTAGACCAACAAAAAGATCTTTTCGTCATATTTATAGAATATTTGGAAGGTTTCATTTTCAAGGTTTCAGTTAAATTTAACATTCTCATATAATGTCTGAAGTGAAAAGGGATAGACAAAAATGATATTAACATGAACCAACCTAGATATTTTTTTTGCAAATTCCTATAGAAACATGTAACCAGTAAATAATATGTTAATTTGTAAAATTGCTAATAAAGTATTTAATAGACTGACTCATGTTGATATACTTAATGTAAAAAACAGTGAACAATATATTGCTTGCTCATCAGTGCCAGGTTTAAGGGGTTTAATAAAACACATGCACTCTTTTTCCTCATTTATTTATTTTATTAGTTGTATGTTTATATTCTTAGCACTTTACATGTAATTACTATTAGTTTACAGTGTTTGTAAAGTTTCAAAATAAATAAATAAACATTAATGAGAAATCTCTATTGCAACCAACAGACTGTGGTAAAATTAGATGAAAATATGAGGGATGTTCATGAATAAAATCGAGGCGATTGAGATGTGGTTGTATCGAAGGATACTAAAAATTCCATGGACTAGTAGAACCAGAAACGAAGAAGTTCTTTGAAGAATGGATAGGAAAGAAATGGATAGGATGGAAGAAACACTCTTGGTTGAGAAATTTGCGGCAGTGGACAGGTTTGACAGCGGACCAATTGCTACATGTAGCGCAAGACCGAGATCAGTATAATAATATTATAAGCATGGTAGTCGCCGACGTTCCGTAGGGATATGGCACTCTAAGAAGAAGATGAGGGATGTGCAACAGACAAGTAGAGGAGTGAGACAAGGCAGAATACTTTCATAATTACCTACTATTTAATATATACTCAGAAGACTTATTTACACAGGCACTTAAAAATTTTACAGAAGACATCAAGATAAATTGTGAAAATATACATACCATTTGTTATGCAGATGATAGTCATTATAACTGAAGGTGAGAAAGACCTGCAGACACACTAAACAGAATTTGTGATACTGGGGAACAGTTTGGTTTAACAATAAACATAAAGAAATCATAAACCATGGTTATAAGTTAGAGGGGTAAAGTCACAACAAGGATCCAGATAAAAAATGGATATACTGAACCAGTGGACAAAATGAAGTACTTGGGAATCTTTACTGAAGATCTAAATCCGAAATCAGAAAGTCGATCAAAAATAGAGCAATCAGAGCAGCCTTTTTGAAATCGATGATTTTGCATAACAAGTATTTTGCATAAGTTGTAGAAACAATGTTGGAGAAAAGTATGTTGCAAAAGTGTGTTCTTGAAAAGGGATAATGTTGTGTGTTTTATAATATTTTTAAATAAGTAAATGAAGTTTTCAAGCATTAGCCCTGACATTTTTTGATAACTCCTTATAAATATGTGTTCCTGTATATAGAATTTGAAAATCCCAATGCACTTATTCAATAATTGCTAATAATAGTGTACAAATTTCAATTGAATCATGTCCTTTTATTAGGTAACATTTGATAAAACTTAAAATAACCTTGCAATTATAATCATTGGCCAATCATTTAAGAATTAAATTGCAAAACTTTATTATATTATCTTTATTTATTTTCCAGTTTCTTGTTGATAGTTGTGATATGGAGGAATTCAAACATCTTAATTTGTTTATCAATTTATTGTCATCAGAATTGTTAGTATATAATAATATCTACCTGAATTATACATTTAATTTTTACTTCACTTTCTACTATTTAATAAACTGGACTTCATAAGCTCATTACAAGATGATAAAGTAAAATCTAGTGTTTTTAATTAAAATTCCACACCTGAAAACTTTTATGTACTGTTTACAACAAAAATAAATAAGTATGTATTCCACTACATGATCCTCAAATTGACATGACTAATTTTAACATGGCACAAACAGGTACTTAATTGACAATAAAAAACAATAGTACTCTATGAACAATGTAAAAAGTATCCTTGATCTTTACACCAAAATGACATAGCCAGAGAAAATATCAACAGTTGAAAAATGTAACTTGGCAACCAACTGAAGGTATAAAATCCCCTAACTTTTATAAGGTTGAGGTAAAGAGTATACTTGAACACAATTTTTTGAAAATTTATATTAAATTTTTCAAATGGAACAAACTAAATATTATGCTCTGCATAACAAGCTAATTAACTGTAAAATATGAAATTAAGTATGTTTAATTCCAATAATTTTTACATTACTAAAAGAACTTATTTCTGACTAAAATTTTACATAGGTATTACACTTATTCCTAAATCAATTACAACAAAATAAACTCAAGTATTATTTATATACACTGTTCTTTATAATTTTAGATAAAATTGTTATTAAACATTATATAACCCTGATGAACTACTATAATTTTTTATGATACCTATTGTCATCAGTGTTGTCATTGATTTTTATGTTCAAATCCAAATTGATTAGATAATAGAATTTGTTTTGATTCAAAACAGAACAAAACAGAAACAGAACCGAACAGAAGCAACTGTTTCAAGTTTATCTGATCCTGTTGGCCATGATAAATTAAATGATTCATTAAAGTTCCCACAATTAGTTTATACCAGTTAACGACGCTGTTAACAAGTTTTTATTGGATAGTTAGCAAAATTATGCAAATATTACTTACTTTTTGGCATCTCATACTTTGACACCCCAAAATGTTGAAAAAATCACAAACACCATAACAAAAAATAAACGAATAATAGATGTAAAGAAATGAAAAATAAAGAAAGTTAACGAGTGTGTACTCGTTTAGCACATGTATTACGTTAAATAATACACATTTCCCGTTTAATTTAAATTTACTTATCACAATGTACTTTGCACCACAACCTATCCGTTGACATTTAATTGACAACTACTGAGCAATTTGACAGAAGACAGTCAGTATTATTTACAAGTGACATTTGTCACATAATGAGTCAATTTTTTAGTATGTGTATTTTTTATGAGAAAAATGAACAAATTATAGGATGCATATTAACAGATAGTTAGTAAAACAATGATACAAACTCTTCGTATGCGTTCTTGTTAAATAAAAGCTTTTAGATGGTATTAAAAAGCATGAAAAGAAATATTTTTTTATTTTAGAAGCAAGAACGTCAAAATGTGCCTATGTTTATGTTGATTTGGGATTTTATTTTAGGTTGAGTGATAGCTGGAAGGTGAATGTGCGAATTTTCTATAAATATTGAACATTTAGACCATTCTATGATATTTGCATAATTACCATTTATGTTAAGTCTATTAGAAATGGAGTACAGACGAAGCGAATAATTTAATCAAATGCACATTCCTTTAGTTTGAGTGCATCATTTTTGATCAGGATGTCTACCTTTCATGTTGCTCAAGAAGGCCCAGTCAATGCTTTAGCTTTAAATAGGGATTACACTCAAGTAGCAATCGGTGGACGAAATGGTAAAATTGCATCTATTAAAACGTGACATATTCTCATGGACGTATTTGTTTTAGTATTCAAAGTTTATGCTATAGAGGATGACAAGTTTAGAGAAATATGTAATGTAAGAGGCTCAAAACATCTTAATGTTGGATTTTCATGTAACGATGTATCTTGGAGTCCCACTGATGGTAATTTAATGTAATCTTAATAAAGTTTAATGTTTAATCAAACTTAAAATTTTCATAGATCACTATCTGGCAACTGCTGCAACAAATGGACATGTTTCTGTTTGGAATCTCACAAAAATGGGCAAAGCAATGCAAGAACAAGACTATCAGGATCACAAAAGGACAGTCAACAAAGTTAACTTTCATGCTTCTGAGCCCAATAAACTAATATCGGGATCACAAGATGGTACCATGAGGTACTTTGATATTAGAGTAAAGAGTGCTGTATCAATTTTCTACAGGTCAGTGCTTTATCAATTAATATTAAAAAAAAAAAAGATTTTTGTTTTTATTTAGTGTATAAAAAGAATGTTGATAATAATCTTCAATTGTTTACTTTGACAATTTTTTTCTGGGGAGAAACAATTCTAAAATTATTTGTCAAATAAGTACAGTCAAAATCGTTTATAAGGAACTTCAGGGGACTGGTGGTTTTTGTATGTTGTAGCCAGTATTCTCTGTAAGCGGTTCTATCTGTTATAATGAACAGGTTGTTATTAACAATATTATACTGGTAGGAACAGTTAGTTCGTTGTACCTAGGTTTATGATGCAAAAATGTGTTACTTTGTCTACACTTATAATATGTTATAATAACATATTATACATAACATTTAACATATGTAACAATAAAACACTGAAAACTTTGTTTTTAAACTTCCACAAAATTTATTTTAACCTCTTATCACTACTTTTTTTGTAGTGTGTGTGTGTGTGTGTTTGTGTGTGTAGAGTAATTGTCTTGATACTTAGCAAAGTCGATGTCATTGTCTTCGCTAAGAGAAGCTTATTGTTACCGAACGTCTGCGGTCCCTCCGGTGAGTACCGATCACACAAGGATAGAAATTATTTTCATTTATTAATCTTTTTAATAAACGAAAATTTCCACCCAGGTGAGATTAGAACTCACTACCTTTAGGTTTAAAGGTAGGCACTCTTACCACTGAGCCACAGAGGGGGTTATTCTTATCACTACAGCTGTTTTGGCTGATTGCCTTTCTCAAGTGATCTATTTTTGTCATGCATTTACCAAAAATAGACCCTCTTACTTAAATGGGTTGCTAGTTGTCTAAGTCAACCAGTTTAAGCTATGAAGATAAAATCTTTTGTTTCATCTGCTATATCTGTTTCCTCTGGTGTCACTCAAGGGCCTTATTTGGGACCTTTACTGTCCAACATATTCATTAATGATAAAGTATGACTTTTGTACAATTTTATGACACATTCTTATAAACTTATGTATTCAGTGCTGTTGCTTTTGAACTAATTCACTTATTCTAATATACCTTTTACTCCTTTTAGCAACACTGAGAGTGTTAGGGATGTGCAGTTTAGCCCACACAGTCCTTACACATTTTCTGCAGTCTCAGATAATGGTAGTGTTCAATTGTGGGACATACGAAAACCAGAAAAATGTCAGCAGCAGTATACAGCCCACAGTGGACCTGTATTTGCATGTGACTGGCATCCAGAAGTCACTTGGTTGGCTACAGCTAGTAGAGATAGGACAATAAAGGTAAAATCATGATTAAGTACATACTATTAAAATCATATGGGTGTATACTATACATAGCTTTATTAGCATAATATATAAAGAATTCATGGCTTAATGGTCATGTTTTTAGTTAGTTCTGTAGATTTTTTGTGTTTGGAACAGTTTTTACCTATGTAAAATATTATTAAACATGGAATTACACCTACCAGATCTAAAGTGTATTTGATAAATTTTAAATAGTTATGAATAATCTAGAAACTATAGATAAAGATTCATTCTAGCTGAGTTAGTGGGTAACTTGACTCTCTCTAACATGGAATCCTGTGTATGACAGAAATTGTGGTGATTACTTGCATATTGGAATCAGGGGCGGCTGGTCCTATGAGGCAAATGAGGCAGTGCCTCACCAGTATCAATCGACTATTTACGTTCTTTAACTACAATTTAACTTTTTGGAATTTTCTAAATAACTTTATTTTCATTATGATAAAAAATTAAAATATGTACACCCCTGATGTCTTATCTTTGTATATTTCTTCATAATCTACGGGCTGGACAAGGGACAAGCTTAAACCACAAAATATTAAATAAACAACGGCTCCATTCTCTGCGCCAGCAGCTGGTATATCATCTGTGCATCTCATTCTATCTTTAAAAATTATAGCCGAGGCAAGCCTCACGGCATTGCTCTGTCTGGCATATTAGACATCATATTATGTAGCGAAATTCAACATGATTTATTTATTTTCTGTCCACTATTTCACCGAACAGGAGAGGCATGCCGCTCTCGTTTGGTGTAGTTCTTTTAATTAGCAGCGTTGCCGTTTGGGTACAAAGGTACCCAATTCGCTACATTTTTTCCCTCGGCGTATAAAAGTACATTTTAAATAAAACATAGATTTTTATTTGAAAATTGTAACAACATTGGAGTATTTTCCTTTAGTAGATGGTACTATACATATTGTTCTATTGTTTTCCCATTTAACAAAAAATATTTTTTTTCTATGCATTTACCAGATTAGCAACATTGGTACATTTTGGAACATTTCTGCAAAATTGTTGTAGTAAGTAGTAGTTAAATTACTTCCTGTTGACCTGTTTGTGCGGCAGGATCACGTTTGACGTATCTCGTGTTCACAATGTGAATAAAAAATTCACAAAAAAATTATAAAAATAAAAAAAGGCCACGGGAGAGGCCACCTAGATCCTTGAGGCTACAACTTGGCCGCTAACCAAGGTGCATGCTCTAGGATTACAGCTCCCTCGTTTTTTGTTCGCTTTTATCTCACGATATGAGATTTCATGCTAAACGGGAAAGTCGCTTAACGATACCTTGGGTATGATTTAAGTTACATTTATGAGCACCCTATTACACATGGTGCTCATAAATACAGCTCAATCGCGGACTTTTTTTAAAAAGCAGTCAGCCCTTATGTTGCACCTTCAGTGCACATAAGGGAGGGTGGAGGAGGGCTTAGGAGAGCTTTGAGGTGAGGATGACTTTTGTTGATCCGCGCGTGTATCGTCAGAAGTCCTTCTCACGCCAAGTCATTGTTTGCTGGCGTGAGCAATGCCTCCTTAGCCGGGTATGACTGGAGCAAAGAGAAGCTAACCATAATAATAATTTTCCTTAAGTGTAGTGTGCCTCACCATCTTGTACCATCTTTGAATGTAAAAAGTCTAATCTAGGTAATGTGGAATCCTGTCTACACCAAGAAATTGGTTCCTCAGCATGTAATTATCTTTTACTTAGGTATATTCTTAAGTAGAATCAGTACATACATTGAAATGATCATGCAACCTTTAATATATTTTAATCATGATTAACTTTACATATTCATCACACTTTTTATAGGTGTGGGATCTTACCAGCAAACCTACTTTAGAATACACCATACATACCATAGCATCTATTGGTCATGTAAAATGGAGGCCTCAAAGAAAATACCATATTGCAAGTTGTGCTTTGGTGATAGATTGTAGTATTAATGTCTGGGATGTCCGTAGACCATACATTCCATTTGCAGCCTTCAATGAACATAGAGAAAGTGCCAGTGGAGTGCAGTTTAGAGGCGATCCTGATATTTTTTTAAGTAGTGGAAGGGTAAGTTTAATTTGTTTGTCATTTGAATATACATATGTAGTTTTCAACTTTTAAATCAATTTCCTGTAATGGGTATTAAATTGAAGGAAGAAAAAATATAGTTTGTACTCTTTTTATTTATATGAAGAAATTTTCACCAAATGCCATTTGTATGATTACATTAGTATTAGTGTTATTTATATCTTGTATTATTTTGCATTTTAGGACTCCACTCTCTATCATCACAGTTTCAATGATGCTGCACGTCCAGCAGCTAAAGCAAACCCTCAAGGCCTGGCTATTAACAACAGTGGTGAGATCATATTTGCACGGAAATTGTCTCAGTTTCAAACAACAGCTGTTACTCCTGTTACTGGTTTGACTACTCCTACTTCCTTGGCCAAAGCTACAGTAGGATTAATGAGGTATGGTTTAATATATATTTTGAAATCAGATCTGTATACATAGGAAATATCAAGTACATCTAGATTTTTTTTTATTAACATCAGATTAGATAAAAACAGTAAGTAAAATTGTTTGTCTTTACAATGTCAGGGAGATGTAAGGTACAGTGACCAAAGCATCATAACACAAATATTGGCTTGTTTACTAGTGGGATGCACACACATACACAGATACCAGAACACAAATACTAAAAGCAACACAGATCACAATGGCTGGGCGCTATTAAAGGCGTAGCTTCAACTACTGTAGGCATTGTCAGGAACAGTTTGGTATGTTCAAGGGATCATATCGCTTCAATATCTTCGCTTGTTAGTTGTGGAGAAGATTGTATGCCAGGGTGTTAGGATGTATGCGCAACCCTTTTTGATATTGTTCAGAAATTCTTTTGCACTCTTCACACTGTTTATCCTTGCAGATCTCTATGTAAGGCATCATTCTGGATATACCAAGTAGCATTAACAATTGTTCTTAGAGTTTTAGATTGAAATCTTATATATTATTATATATCATTTTGTTTCTAGAAAAATATCTACAACCCAGGCAATAGACCAGTTCCACCATGCATCCAGTATGTTGCAGCACTTCTTCCATGTCAAAGAAATGGTGAACTATGAATCCCAAAATATTTTAGCTCTGGCTAAGAATTACGTACTGCATGGTAGGAGTATATCAGAGCTTTGTGAACATAATTCAGCTGTAGCGAGAGAGTTTGGAAAACCACATGTAAGTATGATATAAGGTTTAGAATGGTAGAAATTTTTGTTTGTAACTTAGTATAACTGAGTATAGTATATATAGAGTCTAGATATTGCTGCCCTAATTGCCATGTTTGAAAAATTATCCTACATCCCACTTCACCATCTTCATTTTCCATTCTACAATTACTGAACAAGATATCTCGGGATAATTCTTTTCTGTATTTTACATTGCACAAAAAAAATTAAAATATATATTGATTTTTTTCTGACAACTTTAGAAGAAGTGATTTGTTAAAGAGTTAATGAGATTTTTTTCCTTTATAGATATCTGTGATTTGGAAAATTATCAAGACAATGTACGGAGAAGAATTTATGCAGAATTCTATAAATTCTGGAAGTTCAAACCGAGAAGATGTTCCTCATAGTAATATGAATAATTTAACTTCTACAGTTATGCAGATGGACAACAGCATTAATACTATTAGAGATTTGGAGACTGATCAAAAATCCAAGGGTAAGTGTCTATTACTCTTCCCCCAAAAAGTCAGCTTCCCCCAGTCATTTCGCCACTTTCCGGTGTTCTAGATTTCGCTGTCGAGTCTATGCATTACTTCAATCCCTGCCTCTTCCATTTCTTTTAGTGTCTTAGTTGTTATTGCATCTTCTCTTTCTGCTTTTTTTAACTTTAAAACCCTAAAAAAAAAGTATTAGAAAACTTTCAAAAATGAATGGCTGACGAAGAATCCGATGTCAAAATTGTAAAATAATTCTAAATGGCAGATCCACTAAGGCGTTATATATAAAGTTTTAATAAATCTTGTGGGAAAAACAATTGGTATTATAAACATAAAGTTTTTGGGGCCGCTGATGATGAATCTGATGTCAAAATTGAAAAATTCAAAATGGCGCATCCAATATGGCGACCATATATATAAAGTTTGAATAAATGTCATGGGAAAACAGTGTTACAAGGTTTTTGGGTTCGCTAAAGTTGAATTTAAAGTCAGAATTCAGTGTATTCTTGTAATACTAGTTTGAGTGTACTAAATTTAATTATTTTTCAGCTGCTAGCGATACACAGGCTGCTCAGTTTAGCGGCGGCGATGACGAGACCGAAAATGAGGATCAAGTCGACCACATGGGCACTTACAACGGCTTTCCGACCTATTTAAACATCAGAAGCGGACTTCCTAAAGGAGATTTCTCTTTCGGCGAGAACGAATTAGACATGGAACTTGACAGTTTGACTTCAGGTTAGTAGAGTTAACCAATTGCATTTCGTTATTTTGTTAGGTCTACAACATTCACTTCGGGTATGGGACGATTTGTCTGCGAATTGAAGAAAAGTGAGAGGTTTGGAACATTGCATGGTGTGAGTGGAGTCAATTGCATGGGGTTGGCTTTCAGGAGCGCAAATCTGGTTTGGCATGACGCTTTTTTTAATATTAGTGCATGTGATTCTTATTTATTTATTTATTTTGATGGGAAATAAATATAAATTTTTATTAGATCCAATTAAATATAGATCAATGTCATATTTTTGCTCTGGTTTTTAAATATAAAATGTGCCGTGTTAATTTCGTTAATAGAACTTTACAACCATAAAAAATTTTGCTTTAACACTATTTTTTACAAAATTTAATTAAACGCTGAACACTTTGATATAAATTTTCTGTCTTAAGTCTTCAAGAGGATCTTCAAGTAAAGACTCGAAGACTTAACCACAGAAAGTAACATCATTCCTTCATTCCAATTCACCTTTCGAGAATATTTTTACCAGAACCGTGTTTACTGAAATCATCACTCACATTACCCTAAAATTAAGGGATTAAAAACTTTCGTTGGCATTTTTGTCGAACTACAGATATGCCTGACTGTTGAGGAAACTACTAGGCAACGATTTGTCCATACCTTTTATCAGATTCGTATATCTCATAGTGCATTAACAAGGTACAAAACTGCTTAACTCTGCCTGCAACGAACTTCATGACGAGTACATTGATACTCTGGAGGCAACACCTCTTGTTTACCGTATAAGTAGATAACAAGGAAATATCGGTTTTCTGTGGTTTCCCCATCCCACTACACAATTATACCTGTAACAGCCACAGATGCTCTCGACGCGCAATACTAAGTCATAAATTTATTCATTAACTTCACACCCTCCCCCGCAGGACACCAATAAACCACTCCACCTGAACCTCCAGATGAGGCGACAAAAGTCACTTAAATAGGACTCCCAGAACACACCAACCACAATCACTACATCACAAAGAACAATGAAGCTTTGTTTTAACAAAATTATTCTTATATGCTGTAAAATATTAAGCAGTTGTCCACTGTATGTATTATTTGGAATACGATATTGCCGGATGGTTGTTGATTGATCCAGATATACACTTAAACCATACAAACTCCAATTGACTCATTCTTTTAAAGAAGATGTCAAACTAAGATTCGAGTATTGTACTTGTATCCGGTATATTCACCTGAAGATATCCTATTTATGACAAGGCACATACTTTTCTCTGGCGAGGCAACGTTTACATCTAATGGTACTGTAAGTTCTGAAAATTGTCGATGGTATCCCAATTTCAATATCCAAACGCGAGATCAATATTCGTTTAAAACAAATGTATGCTGTGTCATTTATAAATACAGAATTGTTAAGCCATACTTTTTCGAAATTCAGAAAGACACCTAGAATTTAATTAATCGGTTGTCCAATTTTCTTGATGACCTAACACTAAGACCAGATACATGGCACCAACATAATGGGTAACATGTCCTTGTAAAAGAAATGGTCGAGATTTTTTACTACACACCAGTAAACGTTAGAGTGATACGGAGATATGTGGACTGTCTTTGGCCTTTGGGGTCTCTAGACCTGACTCCTTTGGACTTTTTTTGTGTGGCCACTTAAAACAAAAAGTTTAGGTTTATCTTCAGAGAGGAATAAAAGGGGAATGTGAAGCAATTACACCCGATATAATTCGAAATGTCATTAATGGATTTACTCGAAGAATATTCACCTGTTTAGAAAGGGACATTGGATACTTTTAAGTTGAAGTTATGTAAGAAATGTAATTGAAATAAAAGAAGGACAGTACCCATCTCGTTAGAGGAATCTGGTAGTACAAATTAATATTTAAATTATGTTTATTCTCGTCGAAGATTTTAATACGCAATTCTCAAAGTGGTAAAGAAAAAAGAATTTTTTATGATGTACAAAGTGGACGAACACATGCTACATGTAACTTTAATTTTGTGTGAGATATTTTAACTTTAACTTACCTAGTTATAATCAACTTTATTTATGTAAACATTATAAATTATATTTATTTCCCATCATATTAGAAATATTGGTGGTTTATATATTTATAAATAAGGAGGAACTAAACGCAAATTAAATTGTTTCTTGTACACGGTAGATTTTTGGCATTCATACTCTGGGGACCAAATACATTATCAGAAAAAGAGATCTAAATGACAACGCCAACACATAATGTTATTCAGTGTTAAATCCTTCCAAATATGATCCTATATTTAATATAATTCTTAAACTCAAAGAACAAAGCAGTATTAGAAAGGAGTAACGCTGGAATCATAGCTTATTGGGTATACTTGTGATCCCCTCCAAGAGCCTTGAAACCTTGTCGTAGAGGAGCGGATTTTCACTCTCGGCCAAACTCGTTGATTCTCTAAGGTCAACATGCCATACAGACATCTGTTGGGAGTGACCATATAGATTCATCCTTGTCCGTAGGACAGTGGCAGAGATAAGAGTACTGAGCAGAATTGCAGTAAATACGCTGGGAGATCGAAATAGCAAGAGATAAGTCAACAACCGGCAGAAGAAGTCGGTTACTTCTTACATCGGTTATCGTACAACCGGACGACCGCTCAATAGATGGAGTGGCAACCTTCCATAGAGGTATTAATCCGCCAATGAACAATAAGAATTGCTTATGAAGAGGAAAAAGAAGAAGAATTAATGAGACATGCGACTTCAAAGAGAAGAAAACAACATAAAGGCAGGAAGATATCGTCATTTAGGACATATAAGAAAACAAGACATCAATTGCCACAAAGACTAGATTGTAGCAAAACAGCACAGATCCACGATCTAAGCTTATACTATTATAATTGCTACTGTGCATGCGGAGAGGGCGTAACTTACAATGCTCTAGATATAGAAAATGTTTCCAACCCAAAGTAACCCAAACTCTACTTCACTGGATTTCTGAAGGTAAATATATGAATTAATCGACCTTTACATTCGTGTTGAACTCAATGAAAGGATAAATTAATAATGACTCGAATTGTGCAAGGATAAGCGATGTGTTCTCCAGCGAGACAATACGCAGGCTTATTTCACATTGATTGTCAAAAGATTTCTAGTCAAATATTGCATCGCAGTGAGTTGGACCATCCGCCTCATTCACCTGATATTGCAACTTCTGACTTGTAGCCTAAGGTGAAAAGGAACAATATTTCGGTCCTGAACAAGCATTCTTTGAACAGTTAGAGCGTTGTCGGAAAGAATGCACCGATCACCGCACCATAAGCCTGTTGTCTCACACACTTAAAATATTTTTAAAGATCTTCCTTAAACGCATTTATCAAATATTTGATATGGATATTGAAGAAACCCAATTTGGATTCCGTAGAGGCGTAGGTACCCGTGAAACTTTCTTTGCATTCAACGTACTAGTCCAGAGATGCTTGGGTGTGATCCAAGATACGTACGTCTGTTTCATAGATTACAACAAGGCTTTCGATAAAGTTCGCCACAAAAAGCTAATGGACGTACTCAAAGCAAAGCAATTATAATACAATGATCTTCGAATTATAACAAATCTATATTATTTCAGCAGGCACACATACGCATTAATGAACACACATCAGAAGAGTTCGAAATTAAAAGAGGACTGCGACAGGGGTGTGTATTGTTACCACTACTATTCAATGCATACTCTGAAGAAATTATGAAATGAGTTCTTGAAGGAGAAACAGCAGGAATAAAGCTCAATGGAACACCAATTAACAACATTAGATCTGCGGACGATACTATCATAATAGTAGATAACCTTCAAGACCTCCAAAAGCTAATGAACAAGATAGTTGAGTATGGAGAAGAATATGGATTATCAAGAAAACTAAATTTATGAGGCTATCAATAACCCAAAATAATGTTGAAAGCCTGGCAATTAACGGTAAAACTTTGGAACAAGTTGAAAACTACAATTAACTTGACACAATAAATAATCACACAAACGATTACTCCAAAGAAATCAAAGTTCGAATAGAGAAAGCACGAACAAACTTCATTAAAATGAGAACAAGGTACTTTGTGCAAGAAAACTGAAATTAGACTTGGAAGTTAAAAAGACTTGAGAAAAAGTTGGAAGCATTTGAACTGTAGGTTATAGAAGAATCCTGAAGATATCATGGGCCGAGCATGTAAAAAACAACGAAGTCATGAGCAGAGTCAACAAAACAATGGAAATATTGGAAACTATCAAGACACGAAAGCTGCAATACCTGGGGCATGTTATGCGTACTGAAAGATATAACATACTTCATTTATACGAAGAAGGTTGCGTTTCGATTTAATTTGAGTCTCTTACCACTCCCTGATACGTGTTTCTGGGTCTATCCGTCATCAGAAGGAGTTTGTAAGAAGACTCTACACTTCTTCTCTGAAGAATACTTCATTTAATTATATAAGGGAAAATCCAGGGCAAGCGAAGTGTAGGAAGGAGAAGAATTTCATGGTTGCGTAACTTAAGGGAATAGTACGGATGCAAATAAATCGAACTATTAAAAGCGGCAGCATCTAAGATCAGAATAGCCATGATTATTGTCAACCTCCGTCGTGGAGAGAGCACGTAAACAAGAAGAAGCATTATAAGGATAGAAGAAGCGTATATTCAAGGTGATAAGTAAATTTAAATAAAAGTGTATTATAGTACAGCGTCAATCTTATTATTCAGTAGGAACACCTGGTGTAAACTATACGCATTTATACTGTTCCATCAATACAATAACATGCTTAAATTATGTGGATAGTTCATACAAAACTATAAATATTACTCAATGCATTCGATTTCTGACCAATGTGGAAGTTTCTACGTCGACAATGAAGAAATACCCTCAGACCAAAACGCTCCACTATATATTCAACTTAACTTGGAAGTGAATGCACTGTAGTAAAACAGATCGATTTTTTATTTGCGTTTATTTTGTTAATGTAAAGATTACACTGCTAGTTATGTTGATTAATAACCGCCAATATTTCGACGTGTATCTTATTTATTTACATTAACATATCTTTTCGTTTAGTCTTCACTGCATGCCTATACTATTGGAACCAGCGATCTTAATAAGGAACTGTACTGATCAAAACCTAAATTCGCCCTCACTTGATATGTGAAGGTGATTGTTATTTTTTAGATTTTCATTCCGGCTATCGTGGCTATAACCACGTAACCTCCGATGGTCCTGAGTGGATTTTGCCCAACGAAGCGTTTACTATCCGGCACGAGATTCAGGATCGGTCTCCTCCTCCTGAACAGTTTCCGAACCATCATCATTCGCCTGATATACACGAAGATACGCCTACGGTAAGTGCTTTTATTATTTCACTTAACACCAGACGAATTAGTGTTCTTTGAACAAGAACCTTGTTCTTGTTCGATCTGAAGGGCGTGGTCGTATTTATAAAATCGACTGCTAGCTATATTTCCATCTTATAAAGGGTGTTATTGGTGATCTTATCTCTCTTGCTATTCAGGCTGGTCTCTCACTATTAAGTCGTGTACTATTCTGCTTACACTCACTTCTTCTCTGTCTTCTCCATCTTACAATATATTTGCATTTTGGAAAGATATTATATTTGGTGATTTGATATTCTGTCGTTTAATATTTGCAGAGAAATTGATCTCAAGACTCATTTTTCTTCTCCCTGCTCTAGCACATACAGTAAAACTGCTTTTAATCATATTGGATTTTAAATTTTACTAACAAACCTTTAATACTATTACAATAAACTAGATTTGTTTCTTGGATGATAAGGCACCCAACTCAAAAAAACTGAGCACCATCTTTGGGAAGATTCAGATCGCTCACCAAACCATTTATCTCTTCCTGAAAAAACTTTTGTTTAGTGTTATTTTCAAAGTCAAAGCTTAAGTTCCGATTGTCCTGACGTTTTACTTCGCCTTCATCTGAGTCTGGCATCTTTCATAAAGTAACAGACTGCGCAGCTGTTTCTGTGCCAAATGGAATGCTTTGATTTTAAGTTAAACCCTTTAACATAACACCCATCGATTGAATCATATAGAATATCATTTTCGTTTCACGCACATCAAATTACATTTGATTGATATTATTCAAACAGCTTTTTGGTTGCAGACTTGTGTAATGATACATATAATTTTATTTACAGCATTTTCAGTATGAAGAAACATCCCCAACGTTAATCTCGGTATCTAAGATTCCTAAAAAATCGTTATGGGATCCGAGCAGTCTTGTAGTGGAGGCACTGAAACACCACGCCATCCTAGGCGACATTCAAACTGCTGCTTGCATACTTATAGTTTTAGGTGATTGTAGAAAGTTTTTAAGGCAACTTGATGAAGCTACTCAGGAACACTGGTTAATGGGATACATAGAAATCCTCAGTAGTTACAAATTGTGGAACATCGTTACACAGGTAAGACATAATGAATCAACGAATGAACAATTTTAATGAATTTATTTTATTTTCTTACAGGTCATCAAATTGTCTTGGCTACCATCGGTCTACCAGCTCAACCAGCAAAGCACGCGTATCAACACCAATTGCGGCAAGTGTTCAAAATCGTTACAAAGAGTCGGCTGGTTGTGCGACAGATGTCATTCCTCAGAATACGCCCTCTGTAGTATTTGTAATCAAGTAGTTAAAGGGTTGTACGTTTGGTGTCAGGGTTGCTCACACGGTGGACACTTGGCGCATATGCGTCAATGGACATTGAGTAACAAAGTGTGTCCTTCAGGTTGCGGTCATCTATGCGAGTATGGATGAGAAGTGACTAGAGTATCACAGAACATCAGATTGACATAGGAAAGTATGCTTTTGAAATTATGATGATTTCAAAAGACAATTAAATATTGAATGATAGGCATGTTCTTGAGATTACAAAATGAACTATCCGGATAATGCAGACCAAGTAAATGGTGATGTACAATTCAATACTGATAGTTGTACGTTATTCTGGGGTTGGTTTAACACGTTTTTAAAGAATTAAACTCGATTTCTGGTTAATTTAGGGTCTTATGATTTTGCAAGATTCTCGCACTACAATGATATTTTCTGACACAACAATTATTAGGAAATTAGTTGTGATCAATCGTGATCGTAGCAAACTACGATCAATATTGAAAACCAGTGAATTTCTATGGACCTCGATGGTATTTCATTATCAATAGTTCTAGTGCAGTTATCGGTAAGCTGTTGTGGTAACATACATCAAATATAATAAAAAGTCATGACTGGAGTATGTTCACGATTTATTTCCATCGTGTGGTCAGGATGTTTTCAACTCGCTAAACAATTCAAATAGCATTTATATAACAAAACGCTCCGAGTAAGTATATTATTAAAACTTCAAATGCTCCAGTTAGATGGAGCATTTGAAGAAGGGGGTAAAGGAAAATGACATATGGCACAGAAGATATAACTTTGAACTATACACAGCATAAAATGAACCCGAGATCGTAACATCCATAAAGATCGGACGACTGCGCTGGATGGGCCATGTTGAACGGATGTTGGAGACTTAAACACCAAAACATATAATGAGGCAAACACCAGTAGGGAGAAGGTCAAAGGGAAGACACAAACTTAGATGCATGGAACATGATCTGAAAACACTTAAGATTACCAACTGGAAAAGCAAAGAACAGAACAGAATGTCGGAAAATCCTATAACAAGCCAGGACCCAGAAAGGGTTAGTTACTGATGAAGATGCTCCAGTTAGATTGGGTGTTTCTATAGTGTAAGTTCAAATTTGTAGGCACTAAATTCTCAGAAATGATGGCGACATTTCAGCGTGTTCTAACACTTTAAATCTTCCAATGGAGTACAAAAATGTTTCCTTGATTTTCGCGAAAGGAAAAAAGTGTGTTACTCAACGGCGAAGTCGATCGATGTAGTGATTTTACCAAAGTGGTGATGAGAAGTGTTTACACGTTTCTAAAAAGTAAACACAACGAAAACAAATCAGATGTCTTGAAAAAAATGAAACCAAAAGAAGGAAACACTTTCAGTTTGAATATAACACTCAATAGACTCACCGTTATTATGATTAGCCGTTTTGCGTCCACTGCTGAACATGGGCCTCTCGTAAATAACTGCGTTAATATGTTATGATGCTACGTAACCTTAAAAACCGCTATTTTTGCAATTTTAGATTAGGATATCTTAGAAACCAGAACCAATTTGGCAATTTGCAGCTCAAATTCGGATTCACCACACAAAAAAAAAACATCTGAAAAGTATATTCTTATCTCGGGGTCCGAATATTGGTCAACTTTTGTCGGTAGTGTACGTCAACGTAATAATTTTTACCAATTAAATGATTTTAAAAGTGATCGGACGAATGACTCTTCGGGAAATCGCTAATAGGCTTGGTAGGAAGATGTCTAATGTAATGCGATGTTTGAATCCGTGCATTCATAATGTTTTGAAAGCCATTACAGTAGCTTTCATAGAGAACATCGTGGCTATCTGCAAGAACTAGATAACCTTATTTTCCTGCAAAATGCCCCACACTGCTGCGTCACCGTTCTTGCATGGCCAGCGAGATTACCAAATCTTTCTCCCATTAAAGATGTGTGGGATATGATAGGCAGAAGTTTGGGCAGATTTCCTGCCTCGCTGATGAATTTCCAGCACCCTAGGAATCAGATCAAAATTCTTGGACTTCTATATCGCCGGATGATATTAAGCACAGTATTCGAAGCATGTATTGCTCACTACATTAGTGTGTCACCTTAAGAGAAGCTACAACTCATTACTGAAATTTATAATTATGGACTACTTCAATTGTCAGGAAACTTTAATTAATACATAAATGATATATTATTATGTAGAATGTTAATTACCAAAAAAATATTAAGATGTATTTACGTCTACTGAATGTTGCCAAAAATGTTTATAGCCAAGGTGCTCAGTCACTATTGCATGTAAGAAAATTAATTGCTATTTAACTGGGAATAAGCCACAATTAAAGATAAAAATACGTTTATTGACGTTTCAATTTCCACTTCGGAAATCGTTCTCAAAATACAAACAGTAAATTAAACAAATTTTGTTTTTTGTTACATAGGAAAAAATTCTTCTAATAATTTAATTTTATCTGACTCATTTATATTGACAATTCAGACATACATTATGCATTTTAAAGTAGAAGACTTTAAAATGATATTGCCAATATTGTTGAGTTGCGCTCCTGGGACGACTTTACTTATAAGATAGTTCATTCGATTACATGAAATCAACTTTAACTTGAGAATATCCGTCAATAAATGCCACAAGAAAATAGCTTCAGAACAATATGCATGTAAGAAGGATCGACAAATTTGTGGAAAAGAGTCATGCAATGTGGTTAAAGTGAATCGACGGTTTTTCTGAATTTTGTCATCAATTTTTTTCTTTTAACTCCTCCTTTATCAGACACAGCCTCCCACTACCTTTTTCATCATTCGCACTGGTTTTCCCTTGTTTGAACATAATGCACCATTTCCTCGTTGAAAATTCGTTCATTAGATTATCACCATAAACTATAAATGTCGATTGGGCGTTCAACATAAAAAGCTTGTAGATATATTAAAAAACAAAAATATTGATAGTCGTGATATGAAAATTATATCTAATTTATATTGGAATCAAACTACCAAGGTAAGAGTTGACAGCCAGTACACCGAAAATATATACGATAAACCAAAGAAATTAAGACACGTATTGAAATAGCACGTACATCATTCATTAAACTTAAAAAGTTTCTTTGTTGTCGGGATATAAGGTTAGAACTACGCCTGAGAATGCTTCGATGTTACGTGTTCTCTACTCGTCTTTATGGCTTGGAAGCGTGGACACTAAAACAAGTTCATCTGAATAAGTTGGCCGCCTTTGATTTTTGGTGTTACAGAAGAATCATACGAATATCATGGATTCAAAGAATGTCAAATATGGAAGTAACTAGAAGGATAGGAAATGAGGCGGAAATAATATTAACTATTAAAAGACGAAAACTTGAGTACTTAGGACATGTGATGAGAGGGCAAAAATAAGCATTATTACAATTTATAATGCAAGGCAAAATCCGAGGAAAGCGAAATGTGGGAAGACGAAGAATAAGAGGGCTGGAATGAGAGCCTGGCTTAAGAACTTAAGAGAATGGTTTGAATGCAGCAGTGCAGAACTTTTTAGAGCGGTAGTCAACAGAGTCCGTATAGCCACGATGATTTCCAACCTTCGATAGAAGATGCAACTTAAGAAGAAGGGCGAACATTTTACGCATTTAAAAACTGAATGACACTGCATACTTCACATTTGGCGAGATTTTCAATGGGCGTCGCCATTTCCAAATTTTATTAAACAAAGACCCGTAACCATACAATAACGAGACTTGGCTCAAACTGATGCGACATGCGCAACTAATGCGCTTAGATGTGCAATTGATATTTACATTCTGAACATACATTTTTCCAAACTTAAATATACTTTACTCGTTTTGAGAAGCTAAGAAAACTTCTGTCATTATATACCTAGAATATTATCTCTTAGTCAAGTCAAGTTACTAATATCTGTAGTTATCTAAAATAGTTCATTCTTTCGATAGAACACTTAACACATTTAATTTATTTATTTTACTTTTCACCTTTATTTGTTACCTTAGATAGCCAAAAGATTCAGTTGTAGAGATAGTTGTATACTTATATTTATTTGTTTATACAGGGCGGGATTTTGAAAGGAATCACAGGGTAGTGTCACAGGTAAGAGATGTTCTGTGATATGTAGTTAAATCTTCTTAAGTGAATCTGTGATATTAAACGGTTGGACTGATATTTAGTGAACATGTTAATAAGTACAGTTACAGCTACTATTTTCGGAATGGGAATATGATAAATGATGAGTTATGTTTTTTATTATCATCGCAATAATTGTTATATTTGTCAAAACAAGATACTTGTTTTGTCAAAACAAGTATCATTGTTATATTTGTCAAAACAAATTAAAACTGTTAAACCTTGTGTATATATGTGAAGTTACCATCTAGGAAGTGTTAGGAAAGGTAGTTCGAGATAAAAAGTTCTTATAATCAATTGTGAAGTGTAAGTATTAAGATTTATTTATCAGCAGATCAATGGGCAAAATGCTACTACTTTAATGCAGCCCTTCACTTGTTCTATCTAGTCCGGTATTCAAATTTCTATGGTGTCCCACTGGATTGCTTCTACCCATTTCTTTCTTGGCCTGCCTCTTCTCTTTTTTGTTTATCCTGCCGTAGATATTCTTAAGGCATTTCTTTTCTTTGTCATCTGTAACACATCTGTAATGTGTGACAATCTGTGTTCTAATTTTTTATTTTGTGTCGCCGATAGATCTCCCTTAATTCTCGTTCTCTCAACGAATATCTCTTGTACGTCCGAAGATTTTCTATAAGATTTTTTTGTACCAAATCTCGATTTTTTCTTACTTCTGGCCTCTGATCAAAGTTCTTCAATACCATTGGTTGATTTAATTATTCTTTCATATTTTTGGATTTTGATTGCTCATGAGACATTTTTCTCATGGTTTCATTCACTTTGCCTTTCCTTCTACCCTTTTTATCTATTTCTCTATCTTAATTACCTCTATTTTTCACGCCTGTAGATATAAAGCGGCAGGAAAAAAACCGTTGTCTTATCGCTAGAATTGGAATTATCCCGGCACCAAATGAGCGTGGTACATGCTGGACTCTGTAATACTCCTCTTTTTGCTTCATTCGTTGTGATGTATGTCTATAAACCGGTAACGG